CTCTCCCCAAATTTCCTTGCCGTGGCCGGCCCCTTCCCCTTCCCGACTGTCATTTTTCCTCCGATGGCCATTCCCTGTCTCCTCGCCCCCTCCTCCTCCTCCTCGTAAATTCCCACCCCACGCTCCCCCTCCCCACACCCGGCGTGCAGCTCCGAGTAGCAGGAAAGCCCGGATGCGGGGAGGAGAGCTAGTGTGTGCGTGTGTGGGGTGCGCGCGCGCGCGGCGGGTGCGCGCGCATGTCTGTGTGTGCGCGCGCGCGCCCTGCCCGCCGCCTTTGCCGCAGTAGCTGCCGCAGCATCAGGCCCACGCACGCACGCACGCACTTACGCACACACGGGGCTGCGGGATCGGTCGCACTCCCCTCACCCCCACCCAGTGCACTCACCTACCCCTCCTCCCCCAATAATCAGAGCAATTAGCTGCGGAAGAAAAGCGCTTGCGGGGCAGTGCGGCACCGCGCAGCCTAGGTACCACCAAATTAGCATCTCCCAGGGCGTCCCTCCGGGCTGGCTTTCCGGAGGCAATCACGATAATGATAAATCGATGTCTCGTTTAAAGGTTACTTTAAAAACCTGCGGATTGTTGAGGGGGGAATAAAAAATAAGCCATGCGTCGGAGAACAAAATGCTCTTCTATGCACCGGTGCGGGGTGCAGGTCAGGTGCCCAGTGCTGGGCCCACCCACGGAGGGGGGGGGAGGATGCGTCGCTATTCCTCTGGGCAGGAGGCTCCCAATCCCCTCAAACTCAGGCCGAGAAGGCACCGCAGATAGCGGGGCCCTCGCCCCCTCCTCCGTGCGCTGAGGCGCGCGCACGCCGCAAGCGCGCACAGGTGTCCGGCTGGCGCCTCCCGGGGCAGTCGCCAGTCACGACACGCCTGGGCGCTGGAGCCACCAGCCCCCCTCAGGGACACACTTCAGTCCCGGGGAACCCAAAGGTGACAGCTAAGACAATGGGCGCTGTGGCGCCCGGGGGACCTGGCCTGCCTGAGACCGAGCTCGGCTCTGGGGTCGCCGCCTCCCGCCAGCGCCCGGCGATGCCCCCTGCTGGGCGGCCTTTACCTGAGACCTGGCGCAGGTGGGGGGCTGGCTGGGAGAGCCAGCTCGGGGTGGATGGGGGCTGGGCACGGGGCGCGATGACCCCCGTGACCTCCCCCCCCCAGTCCCCGGCATCCTTTCCCCGCCCTCCTCTCTCCAGGCTTGAATTCCCTAACCTGTCACCTCGCAGAGAAAGGTGGCGTGGAAGCGGGCACTGCCCGGGAAGGAGGGTGCGAAATTGGGGAGGACCCTGGCGCTGGGGTCCGGTGGGGCGACCTCCTCCGCCAGGTGTCTGCTGAAGGGAGCGCCGCGGCCTGCGGGGCCAGCGCGGGTCCCGCCCTGACCTTGGCCAGCTCCGCGGCCTCGGGGCTCTGCCCACTGAGGGCAGCGGGGTGGGTGGGTCCGGGGCGGTGGGCTCGCCAGAGGCGCTTCCAGCGTCGGGCCTCGGCCGAGCACGCGGGCTTTGAACCCCGGGAGCGCGTGGACGCCCGGTCCAGTCTCTAGGTGCCCCCCGCACACAGCTGCTCACCGCTGTCCGGTGCCTGCCACGCCCAGTGGGCGAGGACTTTCTACCAAGCCCGGGTCCGTCCTCAGGTGTCCGTGCGTTTCTGCCCTGGGGAGGGAGGTGCGGACCGCGGGCCGGGGCCGGGCTCCTAGAGCGTGCCCATCCTCTGCCCCAAACCGCACCGCACGGGCCGCTCCCGAATCTAGCCCCCCCCGCCTGACCTGGGGGCGCCCAGGCCCGGGCCCCCACCCTCCTACTCCCGGAATTTGAATTTCCCCGACCGGGTTCACGAAATCGTTAAAAGTCCCGCACGCGGTCGGCGGCGGGCAGGGTAAGAGGCGAACCCGCAGACGGGAAAGCAAGCCCCAAACTCCGGGCACACGTCGCCGCGGCCCGCCCGGGCCGGGGCCCCTTCGGGCTGGGGGACCGAGGGGGCTCCGGGGGGACGACCCCGGCCCCAGAGGTCCCGACCCTCGAGCGCCGCCCCCCCACGGGCCGTCCCTTCGCACTTTTCGTTTATTCCTCGGCGACCCCAGCCCGGCCACTCCGGGGGCGGTTTTCTCTCCTACCCCGCAGGCCTGCGGGGTCGCCCCGGCGCCCTCCCACCCCCCGCGCCGAGCCGGAACCGCGTGCCCCTCCCTGAGTCCCGCCCCCCCTGCCCCCGGCCCGGGTGCTGCGGCGGGGGGGGGTGCAGAGCGGCCGCAGGCGCCTCCCGGCCGGGGCGCAGGTCCGGAGCGGTCCCCGCCCGAGGAGGAACGGTGGACGCCGGGCACCTGCTGAGCCGCCGCGGCGGCCGCTCATGGCGCCCGCCCGAGGATCCACCCGGATCTTCTCGGCCGAGTTCCGGGCTTGGGTCGCTCGGTAGCCGGCACGCACACGGCTCGTTCAGTGTTGTGTCTTCTCCCTAGGCGGGGAGACCGGGCCGGCCAGCCCCTCTCTAGTGTGTGTGTGTGGTGTGGGGGGGTCTCCGGCCGGGTGGGGTGCGCGCGGCCACCGAGGTCAGCACCCACCCGGGCGCTGCGCCCTCG